GTAACCTATCTATAAGACCTCAATTAAGGCATGTTCAAATTTATAAGACCTTACAAAAGGCATAATCCCGATCTTAAAGTTAAGGTTATATATTCGAACTTGTAAGACGCCTAAAAAGGCATACCCTTGACATAGACGCCGAAGCTACTTCACTTGGGGACTAAAAGGCTAGAGCCAAACACAATGACTCCGGTTATAAGGCTCCGGCCAAACTAACACGATTCGGGGACGCTCGACCATTGCCATAAAATCACAGGCCTTCAATTACTTCGAAATACTTCAAAAAGAACTGGTTAACCAGGCTACCCTCAGCATAAGCAAAAGAGCTTCGATCATATCAGCTCCAAATAACAAAAAGGCTTCGAAACAATTCAGCCATCGAGCGAAACCTCCCGAGGTGCTCATCTATCGTCACATAACGGCTTACAATTGAGGTTCTTACTGACCCTACGCGTAAGAACCACTACCTCCATCTTAAATTAAGGGTCGTACTGACCCAATACGTAAGAGCCACTACAGCCAGCTTAAATTAAAAGGTCATACCGACCCAATGCATAAGAGCAAATGTCGCTAGCTTAAATTAAAGGTCGTACCGACCCTATGCGTAAGAGCCATTATTGCCTGCTTGAAAGAGGCTCGGGGCCGACTAGAAGTCACACCAACCCAACGGCCGGCCCAAACAATTTTAGGGTCGATTTCTAGACCTAAAGGTCGATAAACTAGAGTCAAGAGCCTAACTCGGTGACTAAGTCCCAAATGGTCAACTTTCGACCGTCACAAATCGCCCAACAGTGCCAAGTACCCAAAGGTTTAATCTAAGGTCCAAATTTTCGGACCAATTGTCGAAGCAAAGGAAAAATAAGAAATAATGAGAAACGAAAGGCTATTTACATATATTGCTCGCAAGGGTACATTCATAAGGCTTATAAAGCAATAAACCCCTAATCTACCACTAGGTCTATGCCTTTGATGGCTCCCTCGGAAGTTGTGCCCCCAACGGCTCCGACTGCGGTCCCAGGGTCTTCAACAGCCTCTTCCCCTTTGGGGATTTCACCTTCATCCTTGTCATCTCCAGAGCCACTAATCGACTCACTTCCAAAAGCAAGTAGGGCTACAGCCTTCTCCTCTAGGTTATTCACCCTCTCAAGCTCAGTAGACAGATCAATGCCACCTGCATGTATATCCTCGAGAGTCCACCTCCGAGATTCTAACCGAGCATGTTCCATGGCTCAAGTCAATTGTAGCTCGGCCCCTTCGGGCACTCTCCTAACCTGAGCATTTGCAGCAACATCACCCTCTTTGTACGAGGATACGAGCGCCCCGACTTCAGCTTTGATCCTAGATAGCGCAGCAACTAACTTAGTATAAAGATCTTTATATTTATTTCCCTCTGCCCTCACATCATAAAGTTGATGCCCGACTAAGACCACCTTCCCCTGGAGGTATCTCTCTCGGAAGCTATCTCACTCACGCCGTTTGAGTTCGAGAATTTCAGATTCTTTGGCTCGGAGCTCCTCCCTCATAAGGACATCCTTCTTGTCGAGCTGCGTAGATCAGCCCAAAGGTGTTAAAACGCTAAAATCAGATAAATATTTAGACAAAAGCAAACGGAAACTACATAACATGCTCAGCAATAAGAGTTTTCTCACAGGACTCTGCCTCCAAACAATCTCGAAGGCCACAGAGTTCCTCCTCCTTCCTAGTGAAAAGACCTCCAAGCTCATCGGCTTTCGAAGTGAGGTTCCTGAGCTCACCCTCATAGTGAGTCAACTCAGCTTGAAACCGGGCATAGGTCTGATTATAAAGCACTTTGGTCTGGAACCATGAAAGAAACAAAGTTAGAAAGACGAAGATAGAGACGCCGATCAGAATTTGCAAAAGGTTACCTGCTCACAGAGCCTATCCATCTCACTGAAAATAAATGAGGCTTCAAGCTTAGGGTTTTTCTCAAGCGCAGCTAAAGACCCCTCAAATACATCTTTATCTCCGCTGGATGCACCCACATCAGAAGGTTCTTTGTTTTGACCATCTTGCATCTCCCTAGGAGGTAAAGTCGATATCGGAGGGGAATCGCTCACTTCAATAGCTCGGACTGGATCAATCAGGTCCATCTCTTATTTCTGGAGAGCTTCAGAACTAGCTCCCCCAAACCGCCTATCAAATGCACCTCAGCCCGAGGAATATTTTGGTCATCAATCGGCTCAAAGACATTACCCGATACACCCTCGAAGACCTCTTCAGCCTGAGGTAGGACGACAACAGCATCAAGTCCCGACTTGAAAGCCACCGTCTCAGTAGTATAATGGGTGATCAAGTTTTACCCTCCCCCGGATGCTACCGAGGAACCATTTTTCTCCTCACCTTCAGCTCAGGGACTCCCCGCTACTCCTGGAGTTAGGGCTGCTGAACAGCCTTAGGTTCTTCCACTTTTGCCTTCTTGGATTTAGAATGCTCAATTGACGATTTCCTTTGTCTTTTCTCCTCTCTGTCAGGTTTCGGGGCATTTGCTTCCCCAGGCGGTGCTTCTTTCATCAAGGAGGCCTCTCCTAGACCTACGCAAATACAAATATAAACACATAAAATGAGGGCACAATCAGTGATATCTCTTCTAAGAAATTCAACTACAGCAGAAGTAAGGGCTCATCATGGTCCTTGGCCTCCCATCGAGACCTAGATAGGTCGTGCCACACACATTCGACAGATGGGAAAGTCGAATCCAGCCGGAGAATCTAGGTCGAGAGATCCCTAACCGCGCCAGGGTACACCGCGTTAGCTGCGTCAGTGGAGGAAGTCAGTTCATTGGGAAATTGATCCTAAAGGGAAAGAAAATACTTAATCCGCGTATCCACTTACGTTTTGTGTTCCACCTTTCAGGGAACTGCATCTTCTCCGCCGGGATCAGGTTCGAGATCCTAACTCGGACGAAACAATGTATCCACCCTCCGTCCCTAACCTCGTCGGTACAAGCAAAAAAGGTTTTCGAGGCCCGACATCTGAGCTTAATCAGGGCCCCTCGGAGGAGTATAGGATTGTACATTCTGACCAGATGGTCGAGGGTGAAAGGCATCCCCTTAATCATGCTCACAAAATATCTGGTCATATAAATAATGCGCCAAAACGATGGATAAATTTGGCCGAGCGTCACTCGGTATCGTTCATAGAAGTCGAGGATCACGAGGTCTACTGAAGGCGAAGACGGCTCCACCAAGCCATGAGTAAATGGATAGGTATACACACTAAGGAAGTCGGCCTTGTATGTTGTTATGTCCTGTCCCTGAGAAGGAATATCTACCAACACCGCGTCCCCCCCAGCGGCAGTCAGTCTTCACCTTCTCAACGTCTACTACTAAACTGATATATCGGGACACGGGCTCACATCGTCCCAGTTTCGAAGAAGGCTTCTTGACCTTCAAATCGGAGATCATTTCGCAGGATCCTGGGATGAATTCCTCAAGGTTAGGAGGTAATATTGCCTTACTCTTGGACGAGCGTGGAGAAGAGGGAGGCACATCCTCCCGAGGGACAGAGATGGAAGCCTTTGCCATTCTTGTTAAAAGGTTTCAGAGGAAAGAAGAGATCGTAATCAGAGAAAGAGCACAAGAGAGAAGTAAGAAGAACTCTTTTTACAGTGGAAAATAGGGGGCGAAGGAAGAAGTATTTATAGAGGCCAAACATGCACGGTTGAGCAGGCCAAACGGTAGCTAACCGCTATAGTTAATTCAGAGGCTCTTCGAAGGTTGTATGGATTCGACTTTTGGTCATCCATTTTTGTCACATCAATCGCTTGATACGACGCGACTGACGTCACGATGGGTATATCGAAGAGGCAAGAATTCAATGTCATTTATTATCATTTCCAGTTTAAGAAATGCAGGGACTGTCTATATACGGCTAAAATCGGACGCTCTGATTTTATGATTGATATGACATTCTGTGGCTCGGAATACTCGAGGCCCAGCTCCACTCCGATCCTGAGGGCTCCCTATGTCAACCTCGAGGTGGCACAGATCGACGGCTATCAGGGAGAAGCGGAAAATTCCCGAGGCACGTGATCAAAGCTGACAACGCCTGCAAGAATAGTACAGGTCTGTACCAGACCTTTAAGTAGTTGTACCAGCTACTTTTCCTTGTAATAATGATACATGTACCATGTTGGGATTTCTTCTCTTATATAAGGTGGGCCCTTGCTATTTCTTGCACACATGATATTCAATACAAGAATAAGAACATTCTCTGCTCTCCAACTTAAACGCTCTATATTGTCTTTCCTTTGATTTGTTACTTACATTTATTGTGTTTCATTGATTGTTCTTCATTTATTATTCATCATTGATAATAAAAAGCCCTCATTAAATCTCTTAGAACTATTAGTGCTTCATCGGTCATCTTCAGCTGAGCTCATTAGCTTAGCCCCGAGGCCTAGTATAGGCTTGCTCGAGGCCTCGATCCTCGACTACTCGGTTTGCATAGCATCTACTGCCTAACAACTAGCATAAAAATAAATTACGTATTTTTAGAATTACAAAATCAAATCTAATTATTGTTACCATTTTCGAGGTAAACCTTTCCAATAAGGTAACTTCCAAGAAATGCTCTGTTTTTTCCAGTTGTGTGTTACACTATAACCCGGTATCTTATTAGTCAATGGATACTCTGTTACCTTAGGTAGATCCCTAACTATGTTACACATCTCTTCAGGCGACAAGACATGCGGTGGCTCCTCATAATCAGTTTTGTTCTTCATAAATGTACTAGTATTTCTCCTAAACTCAAGATCCATTGGCAAGAAGAGGCAACGATAGTCAAACTATGTGTTCTTGCCTCCATGTTTCAAAGTGAATGCCTTTGTGTCTTCCATACAAGTCGGGCAAGCTAACTCTCTGGCAATTGACCACCCAAACATCATTCCATAAGTAGGAAAATTATTTATAGTCCACATCAAAGCAGAACAGAGTCTAAAGTTTTGCTTAGTTGATACATCATATGTTTCCACACATTCATGCCATAATAACTTTAACTCATCAATTAGGGGATGCATGTATACATCAATCAATTTTTTTGGATTGCGTGGAATTGGAAAAATGCAAGTTAGAAATAAATATTGACTTTTCATGCACAATTCAGGCAGCGAATTATACGACGTGACAAACACAGGACCACCTGAATATGGTGCAGCAAACACTACAAATGGAGTGAATCTATCAGCACATAATCACAGGCTAATATTTCTCGGTTCTCCGGCAAAGTCTCGAAACACTCTATCAAAATGCCTCCATGCTTCTCCATTTGACGGATGACATATCACACCATCTGGCCTTCTATGTTAGTAATGCCATCTCATATGAGGAGCGAAACTCATTAGTGCATACAACTCTTTAACCTTGGTATAAAGGGCAAGTAGTGTATAGCCTTCACTGGAACCTTCTTATTTTTAGCATTTGTGACTTCTTTGTAATGCGGCTGGTTACAAAATTTGCAATTTTCTAAACCTGCATCATCTTTATAGGATAACATGCAACCTTTCTCACAACAATCAATCCTCTCCGATAAAATACTCAAATTGGAAATCAATTTCTTTGCCGTGTAAAAATCTTTGGGCAAGTCAATCTTGGTCGGATTAAGTTTATTCGTAAGGTCAATGATATAATACATGCCTGCTTGAGAAATAGAGTTATCCGATTTAAAACTTTGTAATGTAACTGCAACAAACAACTTGGAATGCGTTGCTCTTTCATAAAGCGGATAACTAGCTTCCTCTAACTGTTTGAAGAAACTCTTAGCCGCATCATTTGTTTCGGATTGAGCCCTAGGGAACATCTCAAAAGCATCCCTCATAATTTTATTAAATATAGAATTTTCAACATTAATATTCTCCGTTATGGGACTACCTTCTTCACCGCTAGATGTTTTCTAAAATTGAACATCATCTACACTAGCATGACTCTCTCCATGCATAGTCCATACATAATAATGTTTCATAAACCCCTTCTTATACAAATGAACAGTAACAATATCGGGTCCAATAACTTAAGACACTTGTATTTCACACAAGAGCACCTAATCATCCTTTCAATAAGAAAATCATCAAGTGTCTTTTCCTTAGCAATAAAGCTAGCAACCCCTTCTATAGATCCATCCCGCAACCCGATACGATTCAGATGATTCCCATTATGCATCCATCTATGATACCCAATTTTAATTTACACAAACAAAAAAAAAAGTGAGATATTTAAAGTTATTTAGTTTATTTGAAGTAATTAATAGATTACGCCAATTCGAAGGTTCCTTTTTTAAATGTATTTATTATTTGCCAACATACTTTAACTAATATATTATATCTAAATTACAATTCTCTAACACAAACAGAAAATTAGAATTGAGATATTTAAAATAATTTAGTTTATTTAAACTAATTAAAAAGTTATATTCTTTCAAAGGTTCCTTTTTAAATATACTTATCATTATCGCAAAGCACTTTAATTAATACGTCATATTCTTCTAAATTAAAATCATCTAACACTCGAACTCTCACATTAATCCTTATTTTAAAATATAAGTCTTTGACTATACCAATTAAACTTGAATAGCTTGTTATATATTCATAAAGTCCATTTACACATCGTTAATATTTTTTAAGAAATGAAAACAAAAAGACTAAAGTGTGGTGCTTCTAGCCTTAGTATAGGATGCATTTAATTTCCATTGACTTAAGCTACCAATCTATTATTTTTATTGCTTTAGAAGCTAGCTCTTTGCATTTACAAGTACTAATGGATTTTAAGAAAGATTGTCACTTTTTTCTTATACAATTGAGGTAATCAAGATTATTTTCAAATATGTCACGAAGTAATTAGGTTTGACAATAAAGATTGAACCATTCAACTAACATATGTGAATACCAGAGAACTAACCTTGAATTTGCGAATTTTTTACTTGTTCGATCCAAACCAAGCCAAAATTTGTCAAATGGAACTCAAATATCAACCACAATCTTCACAACAACAATTAAAACAAACTCTGCAAATTAAATTTTCAAATTTGCCTCAAAAAATCAAGTCAAATAATGATATTCTAAACTTGCTAAAACTTCAAAGTCAAAAGAAGAAATCTAACAAATAAATTGCTTACCTAGATGGAAAAATACCGAAGAAGAGAAAGCAATCACATCGGAGAAGGTGGAATCATGGCTGATTCACTGAAAAAATTGAAAGAAAAAATCACTAAGTATAAAAAGATGATGGAGAGAGAGAGAGAAATAGAGANTAATAGAAGAGAAAGAAAAAAACAAGGTCGGTTATATGGTTTTTAAAATAGATTTTCAACTATTTTGGTCGAAACATTAATGTTTATTTTTAATATGTTTAAAGTTTCCGACCGAATCGGTCGCAAGTTTACAATTTTAAATTTTTTAATTTTTTGCAACCGATTCGGTCGCAAATACGGTCAGCAATAAATTTTTGACTTTTAAATAGAGGCGGATTTGGTCGGAAATTTGGTTCGCAGATTTTAGCGCCAAGCTGTGCGACCACTATTGTCGGAAACGTGGTCAAAGTTATTTAATAAAAATGTTACTATTTTTTTAAATTTTCTGACTGTTTCGGTCGGGAATTTCCAACAACTTTTTTCCGTCAGAAGATTTCGGTCAGAATTTAGCATTTTTCTAATAGTGCCTCAATCCCGCATCTGCGATCAAACATCCATTGATGCGGCCTCGTACCTGTGATCCCTGATCTGCAGAAGCAGAAAACCTGACCATTCCACAACCTCACAGAAGCGACTTAAACCTCGCAGAAGCGAATCTACATCTCCGCTACAACATGCGCGCAGATGCGAAGCACCAGAACAAGGTCCGTCTAAAACATGGAAATGATCTAAAACTCATCTGAAACTAACCCGAGGCCCCAGAGACCCTGTCTAATCATACCAATCATTCCCAAAACACAACACCAACCTACTCGAGGCCTCAAATCACACATAACAATATCAAAACCACGAATTGTACCTCAAATCGAGCTTAATGAACTATTTTAAAATTTTAAATTTCAAACTTACGCCGAACACATTTAAACAACTCGGAATCACCTCGAATTTTGCACATAAGTTTCAAATGATATAACGAACCTATTCCAACTCCCGGGACAATGATCCGAACCCGATAATATGGAAGTCAAACCTATGAACTTTCCAAATCTTTAAATTGACAACTTTTGCCAATTAGAGCCAAAACCTTCTAGAAATATCTAAATACAAATCAAGTCCAAAATCACCATGCATACCTAACGGAGCCAGAAAAATTCCAATCTGAGGTCAACTACACAAAAGTCAAACTTGATCAACTCTTCCAACTTAAAGCTTCCTAGTTGAAAATCATTCTTCCAATAAATCCCGAACCACTCGAAAACCTAAAACCGACCATACACCAAGTCATATTACACTATATGAAGCTACTCATTACCTCAAACTACCAAAGTGAATGCAAATGCTCAAAACGATCAATCAGATCGTTACAGTTTTGGAGAGAGGGGTAGGGGATTGCCGTTGTTCATGGTAAGCAGTAAACAAATAGTATTGACATTCCATTTTTCTTAATCAAATGTGAATTATTTTCTAAATGGGGTAAGTTGTGAAACGTTAGAATATATTTAGAGAACAAGAACCAAGATTGAGACAGAGTTTCAAAGAATCATGGAGGGGAGATGGACAAATACTAAATTAATAAGATGATTCAGCAGTTTGTCTGCCCATCACATTTGAAAACATGCCTTTGGAAGTATGAACAACATCAATGTTTCACTTAGTCAAATTATTCTAGAAAGAGTGGATCGATTGACCTGGTCATGATGAAATATGAACGGCAGCCAAGAACAATACTTATACAAGTCGTGAGATAAAGTCAATCACCCTTCCTATCACCTGGCCCACACTCAACCCCTTCCTTTGAAACCAATTTATTTACTCCATTACTTACATAAACTTTTCAAAACTTTCAAGATATAAATTAATAAGACAACATAAATATTTTCACGGTATAATTTGTTCGTCAAGCTAACTTCTCAACCATTAGTTTTAATATTTTGTCATACTAGCTTTCCTGTGTGGAATATAGGAAATATTTGTTACTCTATCTACTCTAAAATTTAATACTTCTCGTCACCTGCGGAACCATGAATTAATGGAAGAAGATTTTTTTTATTTAAAAAAAACTAGAATATCGCACTTGAAATTCGAACATGTGACTAGAGTAATTTTTGAACCGTTTTGCCAAAAATCTTCCCTTATATTTAGGCAATGCAACAATTTTTATATAACTACAAAAAATTGTTTTTGTCCGATTTGCCTAATATAATTTTCGATAAAGGTTATTTAATTATACCCCTTGACTTAACGTAACCCTGCCCCCTACTTTTCACTTTTCAAGAATTAAACTAATGTTGCTCACATTTTAAATCATATTTGTTCGCCAAACTGACATGAAAATGTGATTTATCAGTGCAAAATAATGTCAAATTATCAATTTTATTCCCGCAAATGAGGCAATTTTAATATCTATACAGAGGAGTAAACATTTACAAGTATATAATGAAATCATGCCGCCAACAATAGAAACCCGTGCACTCACAATGAACCAAATTTTGAGGCATTGTGTCATTCTCTTGCGTCGGAGTGAAAACTGTGTTCGGCCCAGTAAAATTTGGGTTAGACCCGTATAACACCTGGACTCCATGAATATAGTCATTTGCAAGCTCCACTCTCCGGGTACCCACTGCAAAACTCCGGTACATAATAGAATATTCCAGGGGCTTTTGTATCTATACCCGATTTTGGGGTAACAACTGAACCTATACCCACTTTGCAAAAAGATTTGCAAGCATATTCACTTTACGATCAACTTCAGACTTATCGGGTCTGAAGTTAAAAAAATTAGTCTCAAGTGAAAAAATTGCACTTCAAATGCACTTAAGATCAAATAGGTCTGAAGTACAACCAATAGTTTCATGCACTTAAGACTAATAAGTCTGAAGTGAAAAAATTGCACTTCAAATACACTTAAGGCCAATAAGTCTGAAGTGAAATTTCACACTTCAGATGCACTTAAGTCAAAAGTCTGAAGTGCAACAAACATTTTCATTCACTTAAGGCCAATAAGTCTGAAGTGAAAAATTACACTTCAGATGCACTTAAGGCCAAAAAGTCTGAAGTGCAACAGACGTTTTCATTCACTTAAATCCAATAAGTCTGAAGTGAAAAATTGCACTTCAGATACGCTCAAGGCCAAAAGGTCTGAAGTGCAACAAATGTTTCATTCACTTAAGGCCAATAAGTCTTAAGTGCAACAACCGTTTTTATTCACTTAAGGTCAATAAGTCTGAAGTAAAAATTTGCACTTTAGATGCACTTAAGGCCAAAACATCTGAAGTGCAAAAAACGTTTTCATTCCCTTAAGGCCAATAAGTCTAAAGTAAAAAATTACATTTCAGATGCACTTAAGGCCAAAAAGTCTGAAGTGCAACAAACGTTTTGCTACACTTGAGGCCAATAATCTGAAGTAAAAATTTGCACTTTAGATGCACTTAAGGCCAAAAGGTCTGAAGTGCAACCAACGTTTTTATGCACTTAAGGCAAAATAGGTATGAAGTGCAAATTGTGAGTAAAGAAAAATTTGTTCTTCGAATTATAACAATCCAATATGCGATTTAATACCAAAATCTATTCCAAATGAGCTCAAATTTGAAACATAACCTCCAAATATCATCCGGAACAAACCTCAATCATCAATTTGTCAAAACGACAATAAATCTAATGAACTCATTTTGCAATTAAGAAAAAGAAACCTTAAGCAATAGTAAAAAAAATAAAGCATCATAATAGCTCACCGTCGTAAAACATCATAAACTACATTAAAATATGTTCACAACCAGCATATAAAATCATTGTCACCCGAAGCCGAAGAAGAAGAAGAAGAAAAAGGCCTGAAGTTGTTTAAAAAGTGGGTACAAGTTAAATTTTTGTTTAAAAGTAAGAGTAGATTAAATGGGGGCGACCAAATAGAACGTCTCGTGCCATTTTTACAATATTCCACGGATGAATGTCCCAAACTCAATAAATGCCCGACTTTTTTCTTGTATGAAATCCAGGGCCAGTTCTAATAATATCTCTATACTAAAGGGTGCTGATAAAAGAATGTTGCAGAAGCATGCTGATATTTAGAAAAATAATACTTCAATTTTACAAAGCCCTACTAGGATTAGCTGCTGAAAAGCTACCTAGCAGTGATCTGAACTTCATGAGACAAGGACCAAGTCCTAGTATACAGCAACAAAGGGACATGCGTGCAGAGATTACCTGGAGGAAAATAAAGATGCACCTTTGATATTGATGATACCAAGGCTCTAGGGATAGATAGGTATAAGGCATTATTTGACAACACACTTGGGAGATTGTTAAAAGGGACGCTTGTAAATGTATGGGGTAAAATTGATTAGCGACAATTGAAAAAATGATGAAATGGCATATGGAACTGATGACTGATAAGATATGAGTCAGCAAGTAGTTGGCAACGAATACAAGCATGTGATCGGTGCTGGGTGAATTCCAAAGGCATTAAAACGGATAACAAAGATGTGAAAAGAAGACGTTGGTTGGAAAAGGCAGCATTCAATGAGCAGTCGTTACAAAGAATCTCTATATTTTATAGCCAGTCGTTATGCAGCCATCAATGACGATTTTATTCTCGTTTAAGAGAAGCTTGATTTGGGGATCTTGTCTCCCTAAATAGAGCTATAAATAGCAGAAATAGTATACAATGTAGGACACAAAATATATTACACAAAAGTTAACATTAGCTCTAATTCTATAAAATTGTTCTTTTGCCTTGTTCTTAATATTGTTCTTGGTATTGCTATCGGAGAAGTTAAATACTTATACAAGCTTGTATTTCTTTTAAGTTCTTTTCTTATTCTTGATTTTATTCTTACTTATTTCGTATTTTTGGGGATCAAATTAATTCACATGTAAACCACATTATAATTCAATTGTACCATTTTACGGGTAAATAATTTGGTGCCTACCATTGGGCATAGACAATTGTGTAATTTCTTTAATCCATTCATCTATTGCTAACAAATTTTGATTTCTTTCTTAGCAAAATATAAATCAGATATGGCAGCTGACAATGTCAATAATTTCTATAATGTTGGAGCACACAATGAATGTGAGGATGTGTTCTAACGTGATGATTCAACTAGTAAAACCCGCA